TGGCCATGGGCTATCTTTATTCTTATCATCTTTTATATGGATACAAAGTTATACAACGCATACCCACTTGCACACAGCTGCTAAATAATCCTTTTTGCGGTGGCTTAAAATTAAGAAAAAATTTTTACACGAATTTTATTCGGTGCTACGTGGTCTTAAGATGAAGCAAAGCGTAAGATGAAGCAAATCAAACAAAGGAGGACGCTATAAGCACTTTGGGCCGTATTTTTGATAATCATCAGCTCAAACCAATGAATCGGAAACAATAAAGGACTTTATTAATTGTAAGCGTGTTACCTTTCAGGTAGGAAAGATAGAATTTTAGGCCCTATATTTCGAGGGTCGGAAATATTTGTGCCAAGTTTTCCTTTTTCATGCAGTTAATTAAAACTTTGACTGCGATCGGCGCATGTTTAGGCAGACAACGGCCGACGCACTAGAGAATTAAATTTACCCTGCCTTTAAGCTTTAACTTAATTTCAGGTAATGACGGTCAGTTACAGTTTTTAATATCGGTCGTTGTAGCAATAAACACCTGATATTCCTTTTCAAATTCGGTATTTTTTGTCGATTTGTGCGGTTATGAGAGAGCAAAAACGACATCGGAGAGACAAGAACTGACACGAATAGATAAAGTTACATTCATTCATAATCTTTATGAGGTGTAAGGAGCATGTTATAAGGTATTAAAAACTGAATAAAAACTCAAGCATGCCCTTTCGTACGACGGTCATTTTACGAGATAAAAAATTTTAAAAAAATGTTCATGCTTTGTTCTTCTAAGGATTGCATTTCTCTTTAAATTAAAGTTAATGTGAAAATTCCTGGAGTACACATGCAAAGGGAAAAGATACCTTTGGGTTTTCTTTATGTAATTTTAATTTAAGCCTTTGCTCGATTATGTGTTGCTCTTTTTGCAGCCAATATCTCTAGCTTACTGAGGTCGTCCTAAAGTTTACATTATATTATTTGAAATGAATAACGAAAGGGGTAATGTAAAAATAAAAAAAAAAGTAATTAGGAATGCAAAGGGATGAGATGTAAAGCAGAAGTCGATCCAAAAAATGACATGAAATCGGGTAAATAATCGACGCATTGACTTGATCACTCACAACCAGAATAAAGTCTCAAACGGTTAAAACATTTTTATTTTTTGCTTATTTATTATATTAAGAATTTCCCCTACAAAATCACTTTCTTGAACAAATAAATTGCTTTGCGTTGGGAAAAACATGTTTCGCTATTTAAAAACAATTTGCTAAATGCATATTTTTAAAATTTTTTTTCTTCAACAATCATTATCACAATCTTTTTATAAATACCTTTAAAAAACTGTCTGTTTTTTATCTCATATACGTTTTTAATAATCTGTTTCTTTTTTAAATTTATTAATATAAAAATTTTCGCATAATTTTTTACAAAACTTGTTAAGTTAATCAGCAAAGGAAGCGCGAAAACAAAAAAACAAAAACACAAATTCAAGTGTTGTTTGTTAAACAAACGTTAACATACTAAACAATAAACTTTAATATCATTAGAGGGGTTCTGTTTGTTACAGAAATTCGCATATTTGCAAAATGAGAGAAATAAAGCGGGAGAGTGAGAGAGAGATAGAGAGAGAGAGAGAGCACGCGAGATAGGCAGGGAGAGTTTATGCACAAAAGTTGAATAGGTGCAAGTTTTTGTCGAGTCTAGAGATGTTTAGTTTCAATTTTATTAGATCATCTGTACTGAGATCACCCCCTTATACCTAAAGGCAATCGTTGTTTTATTCGAAAATATATATAACCACTATTGTTCTACAACTATGGTCATTTTGTTTTAATATGTGCAACACTAACCGATACTTGCTGGTTGTTGTTGTTATTGTTGTTGTGATCAAAGAAATCATTAAACTTTGCATTCAATTTACAAAATTACCTTTAAAACCTTACATTATAAACCCACACACTTGCACCTATCAACAGAATTATCGCTTTGTTTACAAGAAACTGTAGAACCCAACCTTAAAATCGAAAAACTTTTACATAAAAACAACAATGCAAGTTACTGGATTTTGTAAACTATAATAGCAACAATTACCCGCCAAAACTTTGCTATGACTCAGCCGATGTAAAATAATATTCTTTAAATATATCTGCACAGCACTTGGGTACACGTGCACACGTATACAAATATTTAGATGAATAACAAGAGCAAGTGATGATATATACCGATAGTATGATGTGGGTGGCAATAATTAGTTAAACGCCATAATGTCTACCTAACTGGTATTACAAATTTGTACAAGCAGACAATGTCAGATGAGTGTCATCATTTTCATTATTATTCGTTTCTAAGGCGTGTGAAAAGTTTGTGTACAAATTTAATGAATTTTTTTTAACAATAACGAACAAAGTTTCAACAGTCGTTGTCTTACTAGACTTAGCCATGTACTTACTATTATATAGGTTATATACAACGTACGAGAAGATTCTTTATGAAAGTTTTTGACTTAAGTCTTTTGCTATGCTACGTATTTTAATTGCAGACACAAAAAAAACTTAGACAGAGCCTGCAGTGAAAGAACATATATATATATTTGATAAAGCGCGAATAAAAGATCGCAATCCTTGCTACTGGCGACGATAACGTCTCCAAAATTAAAGTTAAAAAAATAAATTTCAGATGATTAGAAATCAAAATGACTGATAAAAAAAGTCCCGGGACTTTTCAACCATATGCCGTATTATGTGCATTAATGATCAATTGAACTATTTTAGCATATAACACATACGAACGTTATTTATATTAAAGTATACTCCTACACACCAGTTTTCCAAATACTTTCCGACAAATTTCTTCTTTTCTAAATTTTAAATAAAAAAGGTTAAGATTATAATAACAATTTTAAGCTGTAAAGTTTGATTTTTGTCTCGTTTTTATATCTCTTTATTTTTAATGATTTCTCATTTAGTTTAGCGTCACGCTTTCATTTTCTATTAAAAATTTAGACAAATATCTATAAATCAAACATTGGCTTATCTATAATATAAAAGTATACACACAAGCGGGCCCTTAGCAGGTAAAGAGAAGAGACTTTAGCCTCAAAAAAAAGCAGGTTTAAGTATGAAACGTGACGAAAATTAGAGATAAAAGCGAAAACCAAAAATTAAATGTAATTAAAGGTCATAGGTTCTCTGAAAAGAAATAAATCAAACAAATCAACAAAAGATCGTTTTTATACAAAAAAAAAAAAAGAAGAAAAATCAAACAAATGTCATCTAACACCAATAAGAGGAAAAACATTTTTTTAAGACTTAGCTCGAATACTTTAAAGGAGAACGCCTTCGTAAACTTTTCAGGAAATACATTGGTTTTTTTTTTTGACCACAGCAAATGTTGTGAGCGTTTAAGAACATGTGCAATAAAGTTCTAACTACAAAGAATCTATAGTCTCAGTTAGTTAGTGATAATCTTACTTTGGCCTAACAATTTATTTATTCGCTTGAGTTGACGATTCAAAAATTTTTATATACAAAACGTCAGAGAATTGATACCTAAGTTTCAGGTCTTTGTAAACTCCGAAAGAATTTGCGGAGTTAAATATGTCAATCTGATCGATAAACATAATTATATACAGGTTTTCCAGAGGCAGATGCAAGTACCTTACAACACACCTATCACTTATTCCTAGGCATTAGAACTATTTGATACCCACAATGTATTGTGAATACGCAAACTATATCGTGTTGCGGATAAATGTTTACGTTTAGCTCAAGGCTTCTGGTTCCTAAGTCTTACCATGAAGAAATATTCGTTTCTCTTTAGAGAAATATAATAACCATGTAATTGTAAATGATGGTAACGAGAACATAAGGGCTAATATGTTTGTCTAATCAGATTTCTTTCTTTTAATGGCCACCAGCGATGTTGCTCCTAACAAATCCTACGCTTACAAGGATCAAGGATAGATTAAGAGAGGCTTGCGATGTTAACATCTCGGTAGCTCAATCGGAAACTGAGCGGAATAAGTAATCACCGTTTCCAGCTCACTTGCCTTCGAAACGATTGGCGTTGTCGAAATTACTGAAATCAGCTGACTTCGAATTTATACCTATTCCCCGCCTCACTGGTTACGAACATAACCCACTCTAGATGAAAGGATGAAAAAGATGACTTATCTGGGTGTGGCAACAACAGAAGCTAGCGATCTCAAACTTCACAACACTTTCAGAGCACTAATCGGGCTACTGTAAATAATTTGACAAATCATATCCTTTCCGGTATTTAAAATAATTTGTTCCATTTTTTTTAAATAACATGCATGCACATATACGCAAATATTTGTTTTGAGAATAGGAATTTAAAATTATCTTACGCTAGATATAAAGTTTTCTACTTCATGTTAACAAACTAATGAATGAATGAGTGACTCAGTGCATGTAACGTGCACGCAACTCAATGAGTTATATCAGACGCCAAGTGAAAAGAATGGAAACCAATTTACAAATGCAAGCCAACAGAATCGTTTAAGAAACGGTCACTGTAAGTTTGGTATAAAAGGAAATTTTGAATTTGTTTTTAGATAAAAAAAAAAAAAAAAACAAAGCCAAACACTTATGCATGCATACATATTGACAGGCTATTGAAAAATAAATTACAATAGATGTCAAGTATTATTACCATTTATTATTATAATTAACACAAAAAATGCTGTTGAATCGAAAAATATTTCTATTTCCTCAACCTAGAATTTAACATAACTTTACCGGCGTGTTTTGCGAAACATTGTTTATAATGGCATTATAAGAGTTGAAAAACGTCGTATTGCGCTAAAGTTTAGATTTCAATCTTTACTTATGTAAACGGAACTTTTATGTTCTTAGCCTGTGAACATAAAGTTTTTAACATTAAACTTTATAAAAAAGCTTAATTTAAGATGAAAATTCTATAGCACACTTCTGGGCTTACCATGAAAATATGCGAGTTTGTTACATGAAGGCAGAAGACAGACTTACCTTATCGTTAGCCTCTTCCAGCTCGAGTATACGAAACTCTAATAACTCGTTTTGTTCCCGTAAATCATTGCATTCGGCTTGTAATTGATGTTCTTGTTCTTCCAAAAATTTAATACGCTCCGTTAAATGTTGTAAATTATAATTGTTTTTAGTCTAAAAAAAAAAATATAAAAATTTTGGTTGATTTCTATATAAATGCTTTTTAGAAATTTGCTTGCTAATGGGGAAGTAGTCCGGTAGAATTGAACGGGGGAATCTCGAAAAAATTTGCATTCAGATTAATCGATCAGATGTTTACTATGTGAAGCTCAAAAATTTGGTGCAAACAAAAAGAAAACAAATTGATTCGCCTACAACCAATAAAATATTTTGTTGAATTTCTTCTGCATTTAATGCTGCAAGTAGGGCAAATTAATTTTGTAAATTTATTTGCAAAGCTTTGGAAACTCTTTTAGTTCCCGTAAAATTAAGCCTTTAGAGATCAAAATTGAGAATGCTTTTACTGTATTAATACGATAGCTTTTCGACTAAGTGGACAAACAGCCAAGTCGTAAACACTATCGGCGACAATATTATAATTTTTCTTATCAAAGTTCGCAGGAACGACGCGTCAGCAACGAAGCTAAAAGCTCTACCGCTCTTATCACGTGAATACGCATGTATTTTTAAGATTTGCAAGACATTTCGAAGATAATTCTTTTCAATCAATTTTAGAAAATGAATTGGAGAATATACAAGTTTACTAAAAAGCGAAATTATAAACTGAAAACTGGTTTTATCCGTTTTGCTTTCCATTGAGTTAAATTTCCTGGAGTTAAGTTTCCAACGATTTACAACAGAAGGCTTCTTAAAAGAAGAGAAAGCAAATCGCTTCGAACGATAACATAATCACTTTCATCTTCACATTCAGGTTTGTTTTACAGGTTTCAGTCTACCTTGGTCTGCATAATATACTCGTCGGAAGGTTTCAATAAGTCGAAATCTTTGTCAAAAATACTTATTTGCATAAATTTTACCCGTTACTTTTTAATTCAAAGGATAGTGCGACTGAATTGTGGCAAGTGATAAAGAAGCTCATAGGCCATCACCCTATGAGTTGCTTCAAACCATTGAAATCATGCACCAATGCAATTGAGCCGAAAAACAATGGCAAGGTTGAAGGAGTCATGTAGGAAAGGTTAGCAGCACTGAAGTCACCGCTATCACTGTTCCAAAAAGAAAAAAGGTGGGCCCTTTCGTTAGCAGCCCCGAAAGGCCCTTTGAGCTTTTAGCTCGCAATTTAAGAAGTAAAAATAATGACTAGCTACAGACAATATTTTGAATAGTTTCGCGGTTTTTTTTTTCAATGTACTTTCAATTTCAGTAAAAAGCACAAAAACTTGTTTGTATGCTTAATATAGGAAATTTCTCCCGGTTATAGTTTGAACAGAAAGCCTTGCCTTTGTAACAGAAACATGAATAAGAGATCGCAAAGCGTATCAGCGTAGTTAGCCCTCGAATCGATTAAGCACTGTCCAAGCATCTGTCCACCTGCGTCTCCGCAGCACCGTGAAGGAAACTCATAAGTAATAGTTGCATGTCGAGTTGGAGAATGGGCTGGATTTACGCTCATAAGAGATAAAGCACAAAGTTACTACATATGAATACTTCACTTGCCAAACCGATGAACTCTTTTAAATTTTAATGTCAAAACACTTGATTGACTCATAAATAGACATATTCAAAAAAAATTTCTCATTGATGTCTCATAGAAACCAATGCATCCTCTAATGCAAATCATAGTAAAAATGTATTCAAAAAACCATTACACAAATCAATTAAAAACAAAACGTATACGAAAGTGGTTTTCTATCATTACTAAAGGCTAAAAACGATGGGGAAAAAACTGTAAGCAAACTGCTTTTATCATTTTTCTCTACTTTCGGTTTTCTGAACTTAATCGATTTAGCATTGAGGTGAGGCATTCAAAAATGATGTCGTCGATGTAATATGATCTCGAAAATCTAACTTAAGGCATTATGGCTTTAAAGCGAATATTCTTCTTCTTATTCGTTTTATATTTTACTTTATTTTTCTTCACGCTTTCATCTTTTCGTTACATAAATTTATTTAATGGCTTTTTATTAACTTTTATGTTTATTAAACATTACTTACTTCCAATGTTGTCTTTTCCATATCAACAATTTGGTCTTTCGCCACACTTAACTCCAGCCTTAGACATTCATTTTGCTTTTGCATAATCTCCAAATCCTTTTGTAATTTTTCGATATCATTATTATAGGAGCGTATCTGTAAGATAATAACAACAACAAAAAATATCAGTATAAAAATAAAAAAAAAAAAATGAAAAGAAAAGAGAAATTTACAAATGATTTTAAGAATTTCATTAAGATAATTACGCAGTGTTTGTTATTACCGTTGCCGTTTCCATTACTAATTAATAGTTTTTCTTACTTAATTTAATAGTTTATGTATGGGTTTGAGGTTTATTTGTTCGGTTCATTAATGCAGTCGGTTTAAGGTGGCCATAAAACTTGCCATTAACTTTAAGCAGACACACACTCTTCACTAAACTAACATTCTTGACTAAGTCTAAAATATTATGATGGCTTTTTAAGCGCTTTGTCGGCGGTCATAAAAATGTCTCTTCGACCAAGTTAAAGAAAGAACAACAACAACAACAACAAAAAGGATTTAGATTGCGCGGAAAATAGTAACAACAATAACAGCAATAATAACCGTCACTAAGCAAACACTTTGCTTAGCATTGTAATGGTTTCAGTGCACCCATAACACAAGTTAACAGCCTACAAACGAAAGAATATAATCGTATATAACCGCATGCTAATGCAATAGCAGCAACAGCAGCAGCAACGACAAAGGTATGAATAGGATTTTAAATCTTGTTTTATGACCACAAAACATTAAAGGTATTGGTAACTAAGACAAGAAATTTTATCAGTTTAGGTAATCGCACGGATGGCTACCCACCATCGCAGGATACGAGTATAATAGATTTCTCATTTGGTTTGTTGTTTGTTGCCATATACAACAATAGTTTTTTACAGACATTAGGAGTCGTAATAAGTAAATACGTACTTTCAATTGATCTAACATTGTAGGATTACTTAGCAATATTCATCTGGCCGCCAATCATGTGTTAAGGCCTTTACAATTGCAAAACTATTAAGCTAGAAAGGGAAACTTAACCTATAACTTTCGCATTAATAACTAAATATCAAAATAAACATAGTCCGTTTTAACGGCTAATATCACTATAAAGATCTCAAATTTGTTACTATATAATAGTTCATCGGGACCACATAAAGAAAACTTTAATTGAAAATGTTGCTAATCAATTAATTAATTCATATCTTAGTGCACAAAATGTTTGATAATTCATAAGAGATAATTAATATTCTCGCTAAACGAGAATTTTTTTATTTTCGCGGCGAAAAGTATGTGATGTTTTCAAATATTTTTAATGCCTGCAAGTAGACAATGTAACTGCCATATACCAACTTCACTATGTATTTTCAATCTAAAAAAATAAAAGAAGTAAAGCATACGCCGCTGTCACGTTTCTCTATCTGCTCAAATCACAAAACAATTGCAAATCTCTGAGTAACGCATCGAACTTGATTTAAATCCCCACTTTTTGTTTAAGATGGAACCAATTACGAAAATGTCCTTTGGCCTTGTTTCCATAATACATATTTGTCTTTTCTTTTCTTATATATCACCTCTACGAGGATATGGTAAGCGTGGCATTCTATTTTAAATTTGGCTCGTTTTATATATGTTGAATAAGAAAATTTCATTTTCTTCCACAATGTTATTCAAAGAAATACGCTGTACACTGTACACTGCAAATGGGCAAATGTTGGGTATTAAAAACTTCGGCTTAAGCCGCGTGAAATTTCTTCTTTTTTGTGTGATTCACATTTTCAAGTTTTTTTTTTTATCATATTAAAACGAAAACTGCTTTGGCATTTCTGTGACCCAGACAATTGCGTCCGTAGTCTATATAAGATGGTCTCCGAAGTTTGTGTATGCGTAAATTTTAAAGAACAAAGTTCGGCTTTTTTTTTTTAACAATTGCATCGAAAGTTTGAAAAGTTCGCAGAGCGATTTTTATGTTTTGTTATCTAAAAAATTTTATGAAAACTTTTAAAAATTGTCATCTACAGCGTCTGCAACTTTTTCGATTTATGGAAAGGGTTTGTAACGTATGAACGATATTTAATTATTTTTGCTTTAAAGCATTGAAACAAGATTTTTCCCACGAATTTTTGGATGCAGTCATTCCGGAAAGTGCCTTGGCAAGAAAAGCTGAATGGCCCTTCTGTCTACTCTTGGGTGTTTATTTAGCTTATTTGTTTCCTAACATTTGAAAACTTGTTAATTTAATTATAATTACGGTTTGTGTTTCGTGCTTGTACTAAATCCTTGGATATTTGCAACTATCGACACAGTAAAGTTCCAAAGAAATGCGGCTCTCAGCGGAGTTTTGGTACTGATGTAATTACTAAGTACCTTCCATAATAAAATATAACATTTTTGCTGTTGTCCTTTTTTAAGGAGCTTACAGCATAACAGACAGAAAGACGAAGGGACGGAGAGAGAGAAGTACGAACCACTTTTGATTTCAATGGTTTGAGATGGCGGTGAACGGAGAGACGAAAAGATCTACGAAGAGATAAGCAGGCAGCCAAACGAATGCAGGCGCACAAATTAGGCCTACAAACATAAACCTTCCGCGACTTATTTCCTGGACATATACATCGTATCAAAGCAAATATGAGGGAGGGACAGAGGTATGCACATACCAAGAAGCGGAACGAACACTTGGGGGAACAAATAGGCGTAGTGATGTACAGTCGCTCAAATTGCTCATCGAAAAAATAAATTAAAAAATGAGAGGAGCAAATAATGGCGGAGCAGATGAACAGATGAAAAGGCATCTATATAAAAACAGACATTGATATATAGAAAATAAGGTCAAGAATATGTATTCTAGGCGGAATAACTTTTCAGACTAGGTCTTGAATAACAAGATTAGGAGATCGCTTAGCGGTTCTCCTGCAAGCATTCACCTTAAAGAATCTATCACGACAACGGGACTTGCATGCCTTCAGATTAATTTTCTTGACTATTTTGTAGGAATCGTTTCATCAATTCATCTGAAATCTAAGCAGGGAGAATTAATACATTAATTTTAATTAAAACATAATACACAAAAGAGTTTAAAACGAAAGATAATATTTGGTTAGAAAATCTAAAAAAAGAAAAAATTGCTCTTAATTATCATTTAACTGCAAACAGAAGCAACTAGTGTTGCAATTAAATGAAATTGCTTTACTTTTCTGCATTTCAAGTTTGGCTTTTAAGTTTTTTGCTTAAAACTTTTTCATTAAACACGCAAAAGCAATCTTACCGTTTGCCATATATCTGTTGGTTCCACACCATTTGCTGGCGGCTGAGGACTTATGGATGGCGGTGCTGACGATAAAGCCGAATCCGAATCTGAACTATGATTATGTTGCTGATGATGATTTTTATCATTAGATTGATTTGGATTATTTTGTAGCAAGTGTTGCCTTAACTCTTGTCTAAGATTTTGCTCTTCATATGCTTCCTGATCGTAGCTCGATGTCATAGCTGTTATATTTGCCGTTGATGTTGTTGTCGTTGTTGTTGTTGTTCCCGCATCATTTGTTGTTAATAAATTTCTATAATGATTATTATTGCATTTGTCAGACTCTTCATCACCATTATGATCTTCTGGTATTTCTAATGCCTTCAAATGTTGTTGCAAAGGATTTATTGTTGTTGTTGTTATTGCTGCTGTTGCTGCTGTTGTTGCCGTTGGTGGTCTCGTTATTGTTGTTAGATTATGATTGCTGGGATTGGGAGTAATTAGCGTCGTGACATTTTGCATTGCATTGTTGTTCGTCGTTATTGTTACTGTCTGTTGTTGATTTTTGGTATTATTGATTAGCTCAATATTTTTGAGTTTGGATATCTGCAAGAAAAAAAAAATTTTTTTTAAAAATGAATAAATGGAAAAATATATTAATTTATTTATACCCAATTTAAGCAAATATATATACATTTGCAGCTGAAGAGTATATTAATTCTATTACATCTTTTGAAACAATTGCAATTTGTGGTGAGCATGTAAGAAAATTCTTATGACATGATCCATAAGCTACTTTCTTGTACTAGACTTTCAAATTCTTATAATCATAAATTTCCTTGAAGGTCATTTGCTTAAAAATATTAAACTTTTTACTAAACATGACAAAAACCGGCGGGGATTGCCGATTGCTCAAAAATCTTTTTTAAGGAATAAGACCACAGTAAGTTTTTTAAAAAATCAATTTTTCTTTAAATGACATAACAAGGCAAAGTATGTTTGGTCAATTGTTGAAAGAGGGACGCGACATAGGTCATTTTTTCCTTTCGAATTTTTTGCAGCATCTTTAAAAGAATTTTTTTTTTTAATATCCATAAAATGAGTACGTACTCTATATGTGTAACACGATGATTGTCCAAAAAAACTTTTGAAAGAGGAAGGGACAGGAGAATGATCGAAGCCTAGTGGACGTGCGCCCAATAAGTAAGCATTATTTGTTCCTCTTCCGATTGAGCATTTGCTATTAGTTACGATCAAAGAAAATTCGACCGCCTTAAGATTTCAACGCGCGGCCACCGACTTGGTAGTCGCGATTCTAACCTGCTTAGCTACCCGTGCGGGTTCTCTATTTTTGCATTTTTAGTGAAACACTAACAATCACACAAAAATCAATATTTCTCACATATAGGAATGTAGATTAAACGTGTTTTTCTTGGTTTTTGTTTTTTCGTTCAAATTTCTTCAGTTATAGTGCGTCCGGTCAGTTCTATAAAATGACAAAGCCATGCGGAATTGGCGCTGGTTTCTAGAAATAATTTTTTTTGCCTAGGTATCTCCTCATATAGTATTATTCGATTACCCTTCCATTTATCGCAAAAAAAAAATATCAAGACCCTCTTTTTTTAGGTTGTTAGGAATTGTCTTAGGAAGAGTATAAGCCCTTTTATGCTTTAGCTAAGGCTTTTATGTAAATCTTGACGTTGGCTTGCTTTCGATTTGAATTCATTCTTTAATATATTGTCACATTCATTTTTATGATTCCTGATAATTTTTTGACAGATAATATTTTTGGATGTGGGTTAAAATATATTATCATACGGCCTTAGGTATTCGTTTTTTTGATTATTATTTCTTTAAGTAAGCAGATAAAATTCACAACGAGCGGCCTAAATGTGCTACAGTTATTGTTTAATAATCAGTTTCATGAGTAATCCAATTGTGATTATCAAAGGTCACTGTGTACGCATCAGTCTTTATAATAACCTCTTTAGATAAATATTGTTTTTAATAGCGTGGTTCATGTCGCATATAATCTGTAAAACGTGGATGGTTGTGTCATTTTGCCTTAAGTGATGAAATGATTTCAAATTAGAAAATCGAAATGAAATCCAACCAACCTTGAAAGTTAGATTTTGATATTTATTTGGGATTCCTTTTTTGGGTAAAACAAGTCAAAAAAACAGTTAAGCAAAAGCACAGGTTGGTGGGTGGGTGTTTCTATTACTCGTATAAACGAAACCATCATATGTTTGCGATTACTTGTCTATCACCAATCAATTCTAAATGAATTTTACTCATAATAATGCCAAGGTATTCTAGAAAAGTTGTAAATATTAAAAAAAAATATTTTAAAAAAACTAAAAAAACTACTTTCAAAAATCGTCTTAACGTCTCTCTAGTTTTACTATTTAACAAATTAATGAATATTCTTAACGATAATGTATTGAGTTGAGCCAGAGGGTATAAAAAGTATGCACAGCATAGAAGTAGAGTCGAACGAACTTTTTCTTTTATTAACTAGCGAATGTATATTTTTTTGTTTATTTATAAACTGTTTGGATAAGAGCACAGCATAGCACGTTTCAGGGTCGATTTACTAACGTTCTCATTAGAAATTTGGCCTCCTTAAGAACTTTTTTAAGGTTAAAAATATATTCACAAAATGTTCACAAAGTCCAGCAACATGCATCGCAATCGTTTAAAGTATGCCAGCTATGTGAATTTCCGTCTGTTCATATAATATTTATATAATATGCTATTTTAGGCACCAAACTTCGTCAATGCCATTAAACATATATTCTCCCTTTTTTAATCACTCATTGATTTAAGGCCGGCGAATTGCAGAAAGTTTTCCTGTTGCTTTATATTCGTTCCTAAATACATAACCTAAATGTTATGTGTGTATATGTGTTATATAACTTATTTAGAAATTACTATATTATTATGATAATATATTTAGGCCAACGTAATTAATTCAGAGGCTACAAGTGGGATGAACGGTACCAGCTAAGGCAATCGGTTTTTTTTTTTCCTAATACACTATTATAGATTGTCAGTCCACTTGAGTTGGTAAAGTTAAGATTTTGTCGATGTTATGTTCTCCAGTCGATTTCGAATCGGATCTTCGAATATTGGGAAAGTTCTGATTTCACATAGTATATGTCCAAACACAAGATTTTGTCCAACACGGTAAATTGGAAGAGCAGCATTAAAAACCCATTGGTGTGTTGCAACAATATGCGACTTTTTGCAAATGTTTTGATCTTGGTTTTCTCGACGAGAGCACAGTCGATTATTTCTTGTAAATATTCTCTTTTATTATGATTTCTCCTGTTTGTAACATACGTTTGAAGGTCGATCTTCTCTATTGCGCCGTCCGTAACTAAACGTGCCGAAGGCATGAATTTGACTGTAATGACTGCTCAACCATTTTCCAAAAGGCTTATATGATTGGGTACCTGAACATTTTTAATCTTGTCTCCATGAGCGGCAATACTAATTTTGTTCTAATTGGAATGAAAGATATTTAGGATGCCTTTTATGAACGACAACAATGATAGAAATCGTTTGTTAATATAATATCAAAAATGTATGTAAACGTTGTCAAAAAACAAAAGGAGTTTCTTCAGCCATTCTCAAATTTTATATGGGTTTCAAAACTGGCTTAACTTTAATATATATGAAATCATTCTTAACTCACACATCAAAATATTTCTAATAGACCTAACGTTCTTATTTTCTATTTTTTAATGCGAGAATTGCGGCTTCGAAGTTTCACGGAACAAATATATAACTTATATAGGGAAATTGTCCATAATCTTCGTTATAAGAGCGATGAGAACGAGTTCCTCATTCATTACATATGTCAACATTCTTGAATTGCCTCCTAAACTTTCGATAATGAGTTTTTCAAGCTATCGCTTTGTTAATGCCAAGTACATTCAAGCCTTGCACTACTTCGCAAACACCTGGAAAGTCTTGTACAACTAATGAACTATTATTACCAGAGATCTTTTTTATCATTTGGCACAATTTCATCGAAGAAATCGCTTCGAATGCTAAGAACTTGGGGCATATTCTCACTATTATTCAGAGGGAAACTGTTTTTGTACACAGCCTATCATTAAATACCCTACATCACTTCGTTTAATACTGTTTTTCAAGTAACAACTTTTCAAAATGAGGCCTCAATATAGAGCCAGTAGTCCTCGAAGAAGTTGTCCGATTCGAATCACTTTTAATAGCGTTTGTTCATGGGCCAAAACACGTTGGTGAATCAAATTTCATCAAAATAACTTTAAAATTTCGACGGACATGTGGAAAGACAAGCTAACAACTATTGCAATATTTACTCTGAATCGATCGGTATAAAAAAGGTGGGTCTATCTGAAGTCCTCACTATTAGTAGGGTATAAAAATCGAAAAATTATGTTGAGCCACGAAAATTAGAAGCAGATCATCGTGTTGCTTTAATTATGCAAACACTACTAACTACCGTTCATATAGATAAGATTAACAGCCCAGTTAACGGTCGAAAGTAAATTAAATAAAAAACTCTTTTCTTTGTTTTTCCAGTAACAATATCGAAAAGTGGTGCCCATTACGCTTTTGACAGAATATGACTGATTAGCTTTCCCGTAAGACGACATTTAGCTTATTGCGCTTAAAGAATCATTCGACTTACATTTTAACGACAATCATTCCCACTAATAGTTATTGCCTTGACGCATGATCTTGGATTATTACGCTTTTGCCTGATTTGTTATAAACGAATTTTGCATGTAATGTAATGTAACAAGAAAGGAATGCACATATGTTACATTCGGTATGTTATATCGAAAATGTACGAAGTATAGCGTATACTTTTATGCATTACTTGGCGGCCAATGTCATATGCTTCCACCAATGCGTGCTCCCGTTTTTCTCTTCTGCTCTACTGTTATATAAAAAAATTTTGGCGGCTTATGCTGTCCAAATTTGGAATGTTCAAAGGAGAATGTGGGCACAGGTACTGGATTATCAAAGTTAGCATATTTTTCGAACCATAAGTTAATTGATACAAATTCAGACAGCTGTGTAATCTCATCCTGCTAGTGACGATTACTTGAAGACTTTTTCAATACCTATCCATTAACATGTTCTTCGATATTTTATTTTCTTATGTTATATAATATACGATAATATATGTAATTTGTGAGGATATTAAATGCATTAACGGTAGATGTCAAAAATTTCGACCAAAACTGAATACTTTTCTATTTCGCGTTAATGAAACATTATTACTTGCTACCGCTTACAATGGCCATCACGTGACTTTTCGTTATTAACTCTTCAAGTTTATTTGAATTGAGTTCTATTATATATGAACACACAACCATATACACAGGCACATGTATATATGCATTTCTCTTCGCTATAAATTAACTAAATAACTGTCTGTCTTGTTTTTTTACTTGAATGTTTTGTTGGAATTGAGTATATTTTAACAACTCTATCTAGAGTAATATTATGTGAGAGTGGTTTAGTTTACTAAAATTTGAAAATAAAAAAAATAAAAAAACGAAATGAAGAACAGTTCAAAATTGATATTGGATCAGTTAGAGCAA